TAATATCAGAATTGCTTATAGGGTAAGACTTAGTATAAGAGCAAGGCCATGTGGGCCAGGGACAAAAGGGAGACTGTCACAGAGAGCTCAGGGTCCAAGATGGACCACACCTGACCCACATGGATGCTTGCTGGTGCAAGGACTTGTGCCATCAATGGGTGCCTGCCAGGTCTGTGGGAGGGCCCAGGTTGAGTTAGATGACGCCTACTTCCTCCACCTCCCCAAATATGAAGATGAACAGAATTGAAGGGCCAGTATGGGGAAGGGGGATGGGAGCTTCTGACAATACCCCACCAGGCCCAAAGTGAAAGAGAAATGGAACCAAGAGAGGCTTTTCTTAGTTTTGGCTTAAATGATCCTTACCTGCCATGTGAGTGAGTATAATTCTTTGCATTTCAATGGGTTTGACTTTTCAAAGCACCTTGCCCATGTTAGTCTTTCACTTCCTCAGAGACCCTCCCTGACCACCCCACCCCAGACCTATTCCTCCTGGTTATTCTCTGCCATGGTCTCTTAATCGTTTCCTTCAGAGCATCTACCGAGGCAGCAAATGTGTGCTGAGCACTGGGCTAGGCGCTGGGAGGGCTGGCGGCAGCTCAGAATTGACAGAGGCATCTTTGTGATATAATTTAATTGGGGAGACAAACGCAAACCAATGATTTCACAGCGTGGGATGAAACACAGATCCCACAAGAGAAGGTCCCTAGTGCCAGAAAAGCAGAGATCATAGGATGGTCCGTTTGGACAGGGGATCAGGCAGATTTCACAGGGAAATAATTTTTAAGATGTAGCTTCAGATATGAGTAAGAATTCAGGCATAAAATGTGTGTTTGCGTGTGTGTATGTAAAACAGAGAATGGCAGGAGAAAGAGAGAGAGAGAGACAGAAGGATAATAGATAAGAGAATAGGGAAATAGGAAGATGAATCTGGGAAAGTTTTAGAGATTAAATGCCCAGCAAATAGCAATATTGGATTCAAAAAAATCACTGTACTTCATAAGAAGTCATAATTGTCTTGTGGCCAAGTTTATTTTAACTTGTGTTTTTTCATGGTGTCAAGAAAATATTTTAAACTTTGGAAGAGGATAAAATGGGGAAAGTGAAGAGTGAATTTCCAACAAATGTTTTATTTGGAAAAAACGTGAAATAAATCTTTGTCAGAAGCCAAAATGACTTAGCACTACTATTTTGTTGAGAAAAATTAAAGTATAATAAAAAACATTTAAAATAAGAAGAATGGACAACTAATTCATTTTTTTTTCTCA